CCGAGGGCAGCCAGTGATGGTAATTTCACCAACGGTATGGAGCTAAACAATGTCACCTCGCTGACTCAAGCAATAACACGCACTGCTTTACCCATCATTATACCAAGCGACGCAAATTTCAGACTTTCGTCTCCCGTATCAAACGTGAATATGAACAGTGATGAGGTATCTAACATTGCTGTTTCGCGACACGAACGAACGTTACCTCAAATTAATGTCATTATCAACGATACGCCAGAGTCGAATGAACCAATAATCCAAGTGTAATCGGGAATGTTGGTTATTTCATCAGGGGTGCTATACAAGACAACTCTACAGATTATATAAAGAGATATTGGCCATGCATTTATCACGAGTAAGGAGCAAAAAAAAATGAAGCCAGTCCCGAAAAGGATTCAGAACTTGGGCCCTCTGTTCACTGATCGAAATTGCTTTGTCATTAAGCCAAAGAGAAGTCTCCATTAAGTCAACTTTTGACCATGAGCCGCTATCATAAACTACATGTAACCTCAGATCTTGCTTAAAAATTGCAGCCAATCATGAAAAGACTTCCAAGAACTGTGCGAGAAGCTTTTTAAATTTTAAAATTGTACATAAGTTAAAAGGTACATTCATCGAAAGGTGAAAATCTGTTAATTTTATGTTTTATTTCTAGCGGGCTTTGCTGTTGATACTTGTGAAAAACGGTCAATTAGTAGTTCACTTTCAAAAACGAATTAATGAAAATAAAAGAAAACATTATCAGTTAAGAATCTTTTTTAAGCGGTCACTGTGGAAAAGCTTCAGATAACTGGCGCAGCTGCATTTCCCTGGGCACAAAACCCTCGCTACGTGATCTCCGTCATTTTCATGATTATAAAAGAATGAATGTTTTGCCATCCATCCTACACGTTTACCTTTGTTCTGACACGTGCTATGAATCGCAACATAATTTATTCTAATCATTACGCGCGTAAACGTGGTGAATCTCATGTAGATAAAAAGCAAAAGAAATGTTACCTATAATCTCATGGACCGACTAGAATCCGGAAAAGTCGCCAAGATGTCCATCAAAACCGGAAAAAAGAGATGTATTAATCGCTCGAAAGCGAAATTCAATCAGCGTAAGTTGATACAAAAGTTATATTAAACTAGAAAAGAGAAAATAACACAAAAAAAAACTTTTCGCTCATTGAAATTACATGTTGAAAAAGTTGATACCGAAGCTGCGGTGCACACTAAATCCAGAACAAAACTGAAGCGCACAAATTGGCAAAAACTTAATAAGATTCATGCATAATTTGTACTCCTAATCACGAAATCGGCTCTTTCCTCTTAGAGAAACACTAAAGAAGAAACGTTCGATGATAGAAAAATGATTTTTTTCGATTTTTCTTTTTTCGTTTTTCCGATTTTCATGATCATTACTATCTTCCCGTGCAAAACTTCATTCGTAATAGAACGAATTCCTTTTCGGCTGTCGGCAATTTTTCCGTTGACAGATGTCACGTTCATCCTCCCATCAGTGCTTCTGTCAAATTTTTCGCGGAATACAAATTCGTGACTCATGGCAGCTCTGCAGGGAGATGGCACGTCGGTCAGTTACTTGGCGACGCGAGTGCCTCTGAAGTGGAAGCTTTTCTAATGGAAAGAAAAAAAAAGCTTCAATTCAAATCGTTTTGATGAGGAACCATGTGGCTCTGATAAAAAACAAACAAACCAAGATCGCGTTTGAGCGGATCAGTTAGTCAACAATTGGCGTGGCTTATCCGCTGTTTCGGTATCTACTGCGGTTTTCGTTCTTTCTATATTAATGACAATCATTCTCCGGTATATGAGGACAAAATCTAAGCGGTTTTTCGGTTTCAAGAGCGGAGTTTCAGTTTCGACGGAATAGTTAACCGCAGTTTTCCAGTTTCGAATAGAAAAACCAAAGCCATTAAACATATAATTATAGGAAGCAAGAAACGTGTAGATCGTGGGCGCGGCGTTTCGTGATACACCGGCTGCCAGACTATGTCCTTGCGAAGCTTCAGATGATAGTCGCGTTAATCTGCCAACAAGTGACTCACTCTTTTACGAAGCCAAGTGGCCTTTCATTGTGCGTTTTGAATACGCTTGCATTTATAAATCTTCGATAAGCAATATCAGAAGCATGTGGCAGTATTTTATTTCAACTTGATGTTTCAGAGTGAGCGTGTCAGGTGGTGATGGGACTACACAAAGGAAAAGATACCCCCCCCCTCCCCCCCACCCCCACCCCTGGCCTCAGTTTAGTACTCGTTTCAAAAGCAGGCTTTTGGGGTCGAAATAATTAATTTTGCATTAGTTATTATTATTGGATTGGCAGCAATAGCACATCATTTCCTTTTCTTTTGTTTTCCCTTGATTAATTATAGGAAAACTAGTGAAAAACAGTAGATTGTATAGACAAGCGTATCAACTCCCAAGGTTAACTTACCGTTGTTCCCCATATAGGCACCCGGGTGCTTAATGAAAGGGGGTTGCTAATCATCCCGCTGTACTGATTTTTCTGTAGTTAAAGCTGAAAAAGTTATAAAGGGGCAATTCTGAGAAATATATTTTCCTTGTAAGCCTACTATTTAAGAAAGTGCCTGAGGGAAGAGGAGAGCGCTTAGTCGTGGGGGGTGTTTATTATAGCGTGGGCGCTTATTAAAGCGTAGGCGCTTATGCGAGGAAATTCGCTAGGCACTTAATATAACTCCGTCGGTCAAACTGTCATCTGCTTCAACAAAGAGCTCTTTTCTCACATTTTGCATCATCCCACGACCACAACTTGGGTCATGCACTGACTAATTTTTGACCTGCAAACTAGCGTTTTGGTATCTTTTAAAATTCAATTCTCATCCCATCCGACACCGAATGAACTTAAGAAGAAAAAAAAATTATGGCGATTGCAGCTGCTTTTTCTTTTTCGATCTCATGTTATCATGTTGCTCCTTTACGATCCATTACATTATTGTACTAATCAAACTCAGCAAAAATAGTAAACTGTTTATTCTACGTTTTGATACAATAAACTTTTCGGCCTCGTATAAGCCTTCCCCGTTTGAAATGATTTCTTTGTTCGTTTCTCAACGACATCGCGTCAGGGTCTGTCAGTGGTTGTAAAGCGGGTGGGAAGAAGTTTTCAGGTACCAGCTGGTCAGAAAATGGTGGCTAATCTTCGTGGAACATACCTCTAGATTCCATTTCAGGCAGCTTATTCATGTTTAGGGAATTTACTTTGGTTAAGAATTACTCGTTGTTTTTAAAAGAAAAAAGGGCGCTGACTAATTTCTTTGTCAATTCAGGCAACAACTATGGCCACTCATCTTCCCGTAGCGTTTAGTGCCCGTTTTATAATCATTTTTCGTTTGAAGTCATTCATCGTTCAGTTGATCACTATGAGTCAGCAAATTTTTTGCAGGGAAATGTATTAAGCAATTTTTTTTCCAGAAAAATGAACCCTGCCAAAAAAAATTGTAATGAAAAGTCAGATGAAATACAATAACAGTATGCTATTTATTATAAAAGACCTAAAAAGGAAAATGAGCACAAAACTGGGATATACCAGAAGACAAAAGAACCGTCAACAAAGGAAGTATATAGCAATGTAAACACGTATTTGGATCGCAAAGGACAGAAAGTGTATACTAGCAATAGTATACCGAGAGAGAGAGGGTCACAGAAGCTATGAATTCAAGCCGACTGGACTACGAGGTACCTCCACCTAGTTCCAAAAGGCATGTTCTTCTAGCGGGGGAGCTGCCCCCCCCCTGCCACTTAAATCAAGGCTGTTCTTCTATCTTTTATCATCTTAAACATCTTTTCACTCCCTTTCACGGCTTTTAAACGCGTTGGTTGTGATGGCTGTGCGAACGAAATCTCGGTTGAGAGCCAACAAGTCTAATATTCTGCTCGCATGTATAGCCGTGTCTGATTTAGCCGTGGGTGTGATTGTTCAATCAATGTTCATTGCTGTAACGACATCAGTGTTTGTCGGGAAGAGAACGATAGGATCGTGTGCATTAAACCTGTCACAATATTGCTCACGAATTTCCTATGCGATACGTCGTATCTTACCCACTTGGTCCCTATAAGTTGGGAACAATATCTGACCATAAAGCACCCACTCGCCAGTAATACTGGACTCGTAACGGAAGCCCATTTGCTGATTACATCTGCTTCAGCATGGTTCTTTTCTCTCGTCCTGCAAATACCTCTTTCTATTCACCCACAAGTAGCTTTTGGATTCAAAAACACATTCATCGTCCTTTCTCCGGTTACGACCTTTTTTTGCCATTTCACTGTTCATCACGAGGTTCGACGACATCAAAACGAAATTTCACAACAACTAGCAGCAGAGGCAAGGCTGAAAATTCTACTGAACAGGAAATCTCTACAACTAACAGCTACCGTCGCTCTGGTCCTTTTCCTTTGTTATACACCTCTATTCCTTTATAGATTTATTTTGGTACTCCACCGCAATAACACGTCTCCAGAGGTCATGTATGCTAGTATTTTAATTTCTCCGTCGTTTGCAATATCAAACTCATTGTTCAACCCGTTTATTCACGTAGCCAGGTTAAAAGAGTTTAGAATTGCCTTTATTGAGTTATTAAGTGGAACTGCAACTTAAGCAGAGGCTGAAGAAAATGGGAGGCGAACTTTTGGACCGCGTGGGAATGCTGTTTGTTTTTTTTACTTTGAGTTCTCATTGGCTCTTCAGGGTGTTTTCCTTTCTTCTGATTGGCCGTTGTGATTACCTTGGTTTTAGTTTAACGACACTCAATCGAAAAGCGCTCTAATTTCGGATTAGGAGAAAAGTAGCGCTCGATGGGTTGGAGGAACTACGCCCAAATATATTCCCTACAAATCATCCTTGGCCTAGATTAATTGTTCAACGTAGACAACTCTTCATGGACCTCTATCAGCAACGGTCCATGATGGCCTTAGAAAATTAAGTCAAGAATTCCAAATTGACAGAAGTACGTAATGCTGGATAGATAGCCATTCCATTTGGTTTACTTCATTTTTAATGAAGAACTGAAACAGAAAAGTACATTAGTGGCAAACTGAAGCACTAGGAGTGAGGACAGGTGGTGGTTCTTATCTCCACCCCACCCCTCTTGTGCTCCTATCACGCGTTGTCTTTCTGGTTTCCAGGGTTGCTTGTTCCCTTCTCACGTCAATCAGAAGTACTTAAGTTGATTGTTCAAACTGTACAGGCGCTCATATGCTACATCATTCCTGCTCTTTTCATTTTCCTTTCCATTTTCTTCTGTTTCTTTGGATCCACTTCTGTTTCCTCGGGTTGAGCAAAGAACCAAGGTCCTAGAATATAAACCCATAACAAGTAGACAGCTCTACAGGGCACCTGAAACGAAACCCAAAGAACACATTAGTGGGCTCAAGTCCTAAATCCAGCTAGCTATTAAATGTTGGTGTCTATTCTCAGTTTCTAAAGCACTAAGAACTAAGTACTACCCCTGAGAAAGAGGCCAGTTTATCATAGATTACCACCCCCCCCCCCCCCCCCGTTTCCCTAGAAGTCAACCACTACTCTTTTATAACACTGGGTGAAAAAAGGTATGGTGAGAGTAAAGTTTCTTGCCCAAGGTCATAACACCATGGCCCAACCAGGGTTGAAACCCAATTCTCTCCACTCAGAATGAAAGGTGGGTAGATGAAGTCTGTACCCCCAGCATTTCATTAGGCTTTCCTGACACTGTGCTCATTTGGTTTCCTTCATTTTTAATGAAGAATTGGAACAGAAAGGTACATTAGTGGCAAACTGAAGAACTGGGGATGGGATGCCAATCCATTGTAAGGTTACCCCCCCCCCCCCAGCAATTCATTAGGCTTTCCTGACACTGTGTCCATTTGGTTTCCTTCATTTTTAATGAAGAACTGGAACAGAAAGGTACAATAGTGGCAAACTGAAGCACTGGGGATGGGATGCCAATCCATTGCAAGGTTACCCCCCAGCATTTAATTGGGCTTTCTTGACTCTTCCTTTACCCATTTATACTCCTGGGTGGAGAGAAAGAGAGGCACTGTGAGAATGCTTTTCCCAAGAACACAACACAATGACCCATCCAGGTCCTGAACCCAGACATCTTGACCCAATTTCCAGAGCCCTAATCATCACACCACCACATCTTTCACCTCCATTCAGAGTACAGCACACCTACTACCAGGCCAATGCTTGTAAAACCCAAAGAGCAATCCTGAAAATCTTTTTGTAAATGCTGCTGCGGGGATTCTCAAAAGCTGATAACAAAAAAAACAGAAATGCCCTCACCAGGAGCCAAAACAGCCACATGTAGTCTGTAAATATTCCAAGTCCCTGAACTATCACTGTTAATATTATGAGGTCCTTAACATGTCTGTGACAAATAAATGACAAAATAACATCAATTAGATTTTAGTGTTTACATGAAATTTCAAAATATGGTATTAGTACAATAATAAACTGGGAGGGGTCTTATATTCTTTATTATAGTCCATTGTAAATAATAAATACTTTTAGGTTATTTTTACCAAGTCTTTATCACAGAAGACCATGTATATTATGCTCACTACCAATGAGTTGTTGAATTATATATACATTTCAGTTCTTAGAATTTTTTTTGTTCTTATCTTTTCATAACAGGATATGTACAAATATGACATCATCATTTAATAGCAATTTCCCTGTCTCTTACTTAAAACAACACAAATATATTCTAGTTGCTGTCCACTTTTCAGAAATATATCAAAGATGACAGTAGATTGTGTTAAGAACAAAACCAGGCATTCATAAGACATTGAATACCTTAGAGCTTTGATCTACACTTATTACTATACACTCATGGTGGATGGTTAATTAGAAAATAGTTCCTTCATCAACCTGACAGAGTGGTGCTAAAGGCGAGTGACCTGTCAGCAGCTGATTGGAGATATCAAACATGTGTGAAAAAATACAGTATTTTTTCACATTTGTTGTTTTTTGTTAACACCTTAGTTGTATAATAAATTTTGTTATCATTCAGACAAATCACTCTCCAGATGGTACCAAAGTATGTCTGAGCTACAGCCAGTGTGAGGTGAACCAATGAACTACCCTTAGTAAAAGAGTTCCTCTTCCAGGTTTTAGACAGCTATCAAACAGTAAATCTAAGCAAACAAAATTGTATAAGTTTCATTCACATAGCAAACCATACACAAGAGAGGTTTCTCTGACATTGGTACTGCTGAAGGTTTTGTCTGCCTATGGCTCTGTAAGACCAGATGCATTTTAACCCTGTACACCCGAACATCAAAATCCCTCTTCTCCATACTCCTCTCTAATCATCTCCCCTAGCACTATCAGGGAGAATTGGTTTAACAATCAAAGCTGCATTGGTTGATGATCATTTCCTTTAATATCAAGATCTTCATAAATGAATGTTAGGAGAAATTAGATGCTGGTCACCTTTAGGGTTTAAGTGCTAACAGGAATGTACTGGAAAGTGATCATCCATCTTTTGAACAACTTAGGTGTACACTAACTTAAGAGAACTTATCTCACTGTTCAGCGTTTATAGCTTAAAAGTACATACTCTGCAGTTCCTGACTCCTGATTAAGATCCATTCCTCCGTCTATAAGATTTCCAGATGAGGAATATGTAGGTTTTGCCATTGAAGCCATAAACTTGTAACATCCACTATAAAGTGCTGTGGCAAGCACCAGGAGGACCTTGGTGCAAAAAGGCAAAATGCAGAACTTCAAAAAGTTATTATGGCCAGAGTTTTTCCAGTTCCTCCTACATGAAGTGCAAATACCCTTTAACCCTTTGCACCCTAACATCAGTATCAACATTCTCCATACTTTTCTCCAATTTTTTTGTTTGATACTGAATAGGAGAATTTGTTTAACAATCAAAACTTAAGTTGATCATTTCCTTCATTCTCATGATCTTAATGAATGTTTCAGCAGTTTTACTGTTAGGAGAAATTAGATCTGGTCATTCTTAGGGCTTAAAGAGCTCACACTACCTTAGAAAAAGGCTCTTGTACAATGACCTGGCAAAAGCCAGCTAGATCGTAACCAATCACAAAACAAAAATTCAGGTTTTGTTTTAATTAAACTCTTGATACCACCATCAAACAAACAGAAATATTTCATATCACTAAGAACAATGATTGTATAAGAAGTAAGACCTTACCCATGAAAACCAACTTGAGTTGAAGCCAAAAAATGTGAATCGGAATATTATATATGTTACCTGAAATAAAGAATGAGGAATCAAGGATGAATTAACGAGAATTCCTTCATTTCTTTCCATGAGAAGGTCATTAAAGTTGAGAAAAGTTGCAGAATTTTTTTTAATACCAAAAAAGGAATGAATTCCATATACAATACTTGTCACTACAGTGAAAAAAAAATATGCTCACATTCAGAAAAATTTAAAAACCCCTACCTCAATACTTATCATAACCTTGGCATAAAAATCCAGAGTTTTGTTGTTTTCTTCCAGAATTTGCTTTTGTCCCTTAGTTCCTTGTTTCTTTGGCTGAAATGCAAGTTATATGAAAAACATTTATTAGTAATCAAGAGCAACATGAAATAATAGTAATAAAGTAATGGCATAAATTCTATGACCTTCCTACAATGTGACTCCAGTCCTTTACACAATTAGTTACTGCCCTAACCAAAGTGATTTAGGGAGGGGAGGGAGTGATATACACATTTTGAAGTCATCTTTGGGTATTTATAGTTCAATTGGAATATGGCAGGCATATCAAGTGTTTCATCCACAATCTGTCTTTTCCAAAATAAAACAAGATATTCGACAGACAAGTTTCCCTAACACTAACTAAATGAGTGACATAGATAAAACCAAAGATGAGAGGGATCATTTAAAAATATTAAGATAGAACGGCTCTAATCAGCGTGTAGAGTAGTATTGTGTAGCCGACGTTAATGATGTCGGTCTAATTCAGAGCTATATGGTAACGTATGATGATAAAAATATTTTAAAATGAAAGCAAAGTTATACTTATTGAATAAAAAAATCAGCTCTCGATTTTCTAATTCACAGAAAGACGATGAAGAAGAAAATGCATGGTAATCATTTCAAAACACTACACTTACCGCCATCTTGCCTGAATTGGGCTAGTCCTAGTCCTTCAGCAGATTTGACGACGCTAGAGGCTTCGTTCCTTTGGTGATAGGGTCTGCTAGGTATGCGTGTTCACCCTCCATTGAATTCTTTTCAAACCGATAGTCTTCAGCTTTTTCTCTTTTCAAGAAAAGTTGGTCATGAAGTTACACATAAGATTGAGGAACATCGGGCTGGGGGTACCAAACCACAAGTTTTCTTTACTCTTTCAACTAAGGGCAGTCGCATCTATGGGGTGAAAGGTTGTGAAAAAGCTGTAATAATTAAAGGTGTTTTAAAACCAGACAAAAACTAAGGAATAGATGGGTGACAAACCCCAATGGAGTGAGGGAATGTTTTCCTAAAAACCTCTTTCTTGCTTTTGCTTGAAATGCAAGAAGGGTCTTGCAAAACTGATAAAATGTCAAGAAATCAGTAAACAGAAGAAACAGGGTGAAGACTTTTGAAATGCATTTTTATTTCAGCACTAAATCTTTCATCTCAAATACGGTCTAATTTAAACATACACCTATTGCACACTGCATCAAAAATTTTAAAACAAGTAAGGATAATATTAATTGAAAATTATTTTCTTTTTTACATTTCTTTGAGACTACATGTGTGTGCGTAAATAGGGAAAGACAAACATTACAATCCCCTATTTTAGGTGATAAAAAATTTACAGTTAAAATACAGAGGTAAATTGACCTTTAATATGCAAACAAACTATGAAAAAATTAAAAAGAATTCCAGCTAAATTCATGTGAGCGAACCTGCACCTAGAACCAATAATAACAAAGACAACTACAAACAGAGATGGAATTCATTATCCTACACCTGTAGGTCATTTTTATCTAAGTGATAACAGTAATTTTTTTTTAATTGAGGGCCAGAAACCTGTTTCAGCACTTCCAGAAAAGAGCTATACATGGACCACCAAAAAAATAGTGATACTTTTATATCAAAGCATAGTCATGGACATGGCGAATGAAGCAAAATGTACATACAGCAAGAGAACTAAGAATTTGTCTAGCAAAAGTTTAAGATATTGGTAGATCCATTCCATATATGTCATTTATTTTGTTAAACCTTTCTAGCAGCTAATCCATAATGTAAACCCAAACAATGACATGAAGCACTTTGCTTTTCAATAAGTACCCAATCTTGGGAAAGAACAAAAGTATCATTTTGACCATATAAAATGGTTGGCAAATGATGGAACCAGCCAAATGTCATCATATTCTAATCATAAGATCAACCATATTTCTACCTCTACCTCTCTCTTGAGCACTCTTTAACTGAGTGTCAAAGAACCAAACCAAAGTTATCGCCAATCAGAACAACTGAAAAATTATCAGTGGCCAATCAGAACTCAAAGTAAAACCAAGAAAACTCTTTAAGGGTAAAAAAGCTCCATATTTATCATAGGAAATAATTTGACAAATACTAATTAATAACTATGCTGTGAGCTTGAGATTTCTATCCTGTGATAGTTGATGAGGGAAAAGCTCTCCTTAAAGATGACTCATAAAAATTGAGATAACATTATTAACTTGTTGGCAACAAGTGTTGACTCCAATATGCTTACAACCACACATTGTGCTGCTAGGCTGATCATTTCATTAACTATCACTGGATAGACAGAGAGTGGCATAGCCAATCAGATTGCAACATTTTTGATAAGCTACTGGTAGATTTATAATAACTCTCTTTGTCTCTGTATTTTTTTATGTTCATGGCAATGCAAGAAACGTCTAGCCCTAACACTCACTAATGCTTCTCCTTAAACAGAAGCTGTCTTTTTATAGCTACTAATATCTATGGTTAATGGATGTATGTCTTTGCAGCCATGGACTTGGATACTACCCTAATCTGAGACCACAGCAGGTAAGTGCCTTTAATTTACAGTCTAAAACTGGTCTGAAGGTAAAATTGCATATGATGCATATGTACAAGCTCTATGAAAACTTCAGTTCTCCTGGTTCTCTATGAGTCCTCCTGTGTCATCATCATTTATATAGGGAGGTGGAGGTTCATCTAATTTAACAGGATCCTCAACTGAATACACGGGAGGATTTTGAAGGTTTGCTGGTACACCATTGACACCAAATGGGTACTCAGTGAAAACATAAGCTGGCTGAGGAACTGCAGGCTCTTCTTCATACTGGCGGCCCTGAGGAATCTGAAACCAATAAAACAATGGAAAAGGAAAAAGTTAAAGTAACAAATGAAATTAAATTTGATGGTGTCTGGGTAGTCATCTTTAAAATGTTCAAAATTATTGATACCATACTAATTAATCAGATAATTATGTATACAATTCTTATAGTTTGGAACCCTAGGGGCTGTCATAACACAGATCATAAAAGGCTAAACAGTAAACAGACAGACATGCAGTGGAGACAAAGATTGCATTAATGCACACCCACTAGGGTTAGAAAACAATGATTTAGGCTGAGTCGGAAGGACCTTTGTTAATAAATTTAGGACTTAGGAACAAATACATCAGCCTCAGCTTCAGGGACTCAGGGAAAGTTGCAAAAGGAAGACTTAACACCTCATCACAAAGGTTTTAGAAATTTTAAACCTAGCAAGGATAATACACTACCAAAAACTGACCTGTTGTTGACTATGTTGCCTTAATGCTTGAGCAATAAGTCGTCTTCGATTTCTTGCATAGAAGTAAAATATCCAGAAGATAAGTTTTAAGATGACCACAACTATTATAATCCTGAAAAAAATCCATCTTAAAGTTAACAACTTTAGATTACAATGACTCCTCTATTACATGTAACAACAAAACCAACATCATAATAGTTTATGTGGCTAGCAAAAAGTAACACAACAAAGAGGAACCACATCACAACTTGAATGAACGAAAAAACGAGAAACCAGTGAGCTTTGACAGACAGACTTTCATACTAATTCACAGACTTTGGTTCTCTTGTTTAAAGATGCAGAGCTCATTATTAACAAAAAAAAACACACACTGTTCATAGTTCTTGTATTGCTTACAAATAGGTACAAAACTTTGCAACAGATCCCTCTTTAAGAGGAAAACTAGGAAAAATATAATAATAAGGATAAATAATTTCTGTAATGAGAAAGTACATGGCTGAAATAGTTTGTACTGTAGGTTCATGTGATAAGCAAATGGTGATAAGAAGACAAGAAAAACTAGAACCTTCTTGTTGTGCACCATTCACTTATTATATGATCCTTTTTTGATAATATGTGATGGCACTAATAATGCATAAACTACAACTGCATTTTTCATATCTAGTATTTAAGCTTGTTATATTTTGAGCTTTTTTAATCTTATAAACAGTTCCATCTTACAATGGCTGAAGGCCAAAATGGGAGTCAAAATATCTGGAGCTGTGATTAAATTGTTTCTGTGTTGTGTGATTGTCAAAAAAAATAATCACTGATCTACCAAGTAATTCACATAGAAACACTGTCCTAAGTGGTTCCACTTATGGTTCGTTTGTTAGGTCAACCATCTGAAACTGATTTAATCTTATACCTATGAAAACATGTCTACAAGCTTGAAATAATAATATCCAACCATTTATTGTAGTTTGTGTTTTTGTTGGGGCTATGGGCAAAGGAGTTAATCACAAAAAAGGGACAGTGGTCAACAGACATTCTTTGCGAGTAAAAAAGAACTCACGAAGATGGTCCCCATATTTAACACTTATTTCAAGAATGACTTCATACAAATATATGACGTTGTAAGCAGTAATGATTTCACAGAAAGAAAGTAAAACACAAAAATAAACATATCTTTGGTTAAACCGATTTACACAGAGAAGTATGCTAGAGTTAAACAGTTGTCGACTACCCAGGGATGATATTGTCACAGAAAGATTATATTATTCTCTAAGTTTAAGAATAATGCTCAAATTATTTCAGGAACATAATATGTTACAATCTTGACGTAACTAACGCCTAATTTTATATGATTCAGCACTAAAAATTTTGCGGCGAAGATTTGATCCTCGCGCGAAAGAAGATGCTTACGTAATTTATCCCAAGAATAATAAACACTAATTAGACTGCACTTACACATAAAACAGCAAATCCATCATTAGTCCAGACCTTTAGTTACCAGATTTAATGCAAGTTCTAAATGAAAGAAGATTGACACAGCTTAAAACATAATCAAGTGTTTTGACGGTGGGTAAAATTTAAAAACTACTAACACTCACCAGGCCATGACATCGAAAAATCGATAATTAATTTCACGAAAGGACTACTCATTGAATTCCGGAGTAATTTTTAATTTCTTTGGTCCCCTCGTTTAATATGATAGATTTCAGCTCATAGCTGGTTCGCCATGATGTTGCACAAAAAAAATATGCCTACTACGGAAGTCAAGTTATCACAAAAGACGTACGAACAAAGCAATAATATAATTAGAAACAAACTTCAGAGAATTGGAACGACGCAGATAGAAAAAAAATTCCAAACAAAGGACTACGAAATGTAGCCTTGGACAAACTGAGACACACAGTCTGCTGCGTACATAAACAATATGTAATCATGCATAGGCACAAGTACATCACTTTTCTTGACGGATTGTATCAAGAGAAACCATTATTTTGGGCGCCAATATAAAGGGGAAAAAACTGACATACCTCTACATACCTCAAGGCACCTGAAACTCGTCCATTATAGAGTGAAACGAAGACAAAAATTCGTGCAATTCACAAACACCTGGGTACCTTTACGACACTTCTAGTGAAGAAACCCGCAACAGTCCTACGCGGTAATAGCATGAAACTCTAAGGGAGGCTGGGACTGGAAAGTATCCGCCCTTAGGAATATGAGAAAAGAACGAAATGAAAAACTATTTGAAAAGTAAAACCAGTAAAAAGAAGACAAATAGCAGATAATGATTATAATTACAAACCCTATGATGAAAGCTTCAATATCTGAATAGGTGATAGAGAAGGCAAGAGGGGAGGGGTGGGTAACTTACTATTATTTTTCTCGGTTGATCCGTGGAAATATGGGAGGGGTTAGGCAGTAAGGCGTTACGAACGTATTTTCCAGGCTGATCTTTTCAAAACGAGATCAGTTCACACACTTTGAACTACACCTGAATCACTTATTCCTACATCCAAAACACCTGAACTAAAATAGCTTTCTTTTTAATCAATCAAAGTTTAAGTATTAACAATAGTACATCACAAGAAAATCTATGACTAGTTTATAATGTTACATGCACAAAGTAAAAATGTAGCAAATGTAAGGTTTGGAAGGGTCCTTTCGATTGAGCTAAAGAACAGACCAAGGGGATGCTCTCAAATTCCTCTTAAAAAAAAAAAGAAAAAGATATACAATTTTCTTCCCTTCATCCCTCCCCCTAATTCTGAAGAACATATGTCACTCCACCACTAACTAATAAATATATTGCAACTTTCCAAGCGCTACCCAAAACCAATTTGATTGCAAAGCATTTTTGGTGTAAATGTATCTTCTCAGTAAAAGAATACCAGTTTCTTCTTCATACTCATCTGAAGTTTAAAACATAGAGTCCCACTTCCATCAACTGCCTATCAAGACTTCCAAAGAAGAAGAACAAGGAAATTCCCTGATATTTAAACATGGATGGCTGACTCCCACTTCCAACCACTTCTGACTGAAACTTTCAAATTGTGCATTAATCATGCATTACTGTTGACAATTGATTGTAAATTGCTCTAATAACCTTATTTTTTGTAGCCTGTTACACAACATTTCTCAATGATAACATGAGGTAACGAACAAGAGAGCTATTCACAAGCATACACATTAAATAAAGGCACAGTTGGGTAACAAGAGTGTAATCAACTGTGTATCATATAACTTTTAAAGTTCTAAAATAAACTTTTAAAAGGTGCATACAAATTGGACTGCTCATAGTCTGTTTCATTCTCAAATATCAATGATACATTGTGGTCTGTGGATAATAACCACACCAGATGAGGGTTCCAGAAGAGAATAAGGATGTGACCTACTTTTTTCACCTTGCACCTATTCATCTAGTCCATGTTGTGTTTGTACAGAAAAAGATATTAATTCAAGAAGAAAATCAGATCACAACCAGTCCGCATACTATACCGCTCAGTTGGGAGAATTAACTTTCAGATTTTGGGAGTGGAAATGTTACCTAAGTATTACTTTGCACACAGAAAGAGACAAAGCTATTTTGGATGAACCTATCAAGCTAAAAATGCAATCTAATTTTCTATGCCAAGGAATGTATCTCTTTTTTTTTTTACAATTGGAAAAAAGTCCTAGTTCTGGGGGAAAGGAAAATGTTCCATTCCTTGCCTCACCCATAGTTACAGTTCTTCAAAATGAGAGTCTTTTTAAATCACTGCATAATTTTAGAGTCAACATATTTAACCAGATGTTTCCTCAACAGTTTCTTGTTTCTTTGCTACGGGTTCACCATCATCACCATCACCTTCTGCTGGCTCTTCCTCATGTTTCCTCTTCCTTGATTCAACTTTGGGCTCTGCTTCCATTTCCTCTGCTTTTTCTTCTGGTTTTTCTTCAGCCTGTTCTTCCTTATCTTCCTCAGCTTTAGCTTTTTCAGCTCTTTCCTGTTCAGCTTTGGCTCTCTCTTCTCTCTCCTTTTCACGCTCTGCTCTTTCCTTTGCCCTTCTCTCTGCTTCTTCTGCCTTCTTTTGCTCTGCTTCTGGATCAATTTTCACAAACACAAATGCCAAGTACATTCCTAAAGCAAACAACAGCAAACAGCTAAGAGAATACCACACTGGCAACAAGCTTAGATAGTATTATTATGATTATTATTTCATGAAAAACATACTCTCCCAAATTTAAAACTTACCAACAGCTTCCCATTCAAACTTTGACATGGTTCCCTGTTAATGATACAAATTATGACAACATAAATATTTAAAACTGACAATGAAAATTGAAAAAAAATTACCCTATTTCAGCCTTTTACTCCAAAGAACTAAAGCAGTCAAAGTTTCTAACATTACTAACATTCTAGAAAAGCAGATGAGGGCATGAATCATTTGGCATTCCTAGAGACATTCCAGAGACATGCATACATGTGTATAATAATACAGAGACATGCAAACCTTTCACAGACTGTATAATATATTACATGAAGTTAACTTTTACCCTTGCTTCTATTTTAGATTGTAATTATAAAAAGAGAAATGTCATTAAAATTTTAAAATCAAATCATAATAATAAATGCAATCTCCAAAAGCACCTTAGAGAGTGAATAACATTTCTTCACAAACATCAATAACTGAAATTGCGTTTTGACCAGTTTTTACCACATGTTTTAAGTTCTTTTCCCTGTGGTCTCTGTACTTGCTGGTTGAGGAAGATTTATCTTGATTCAGCTGAATTCCTTCTAAAAAGTCTTTTGCATGTGTGTATGCATCCTCAGCACTTGAAACCAAGCTCTCATTTTCTAAACGTGGTGGGTATGTCTTAATCAAAGAAGCAAACAGAAAAATAATATTTATATTTATGCATGAATGGGTTGAGTTAAGTTAAGCATCAGTTGAAGAGTATAACAGGATAATTTGGTATTATCGACTGTGCTGATGTGTGTGCTTATATGCAGAAAATGGAGCTAACCTATTGGTGGGAGTATGGTGACAAGAAAACAAGAATAATTTAGTTGAAGGAAAAGGGAGATTGATCCCTTTAATCATTCTAAGCAGCATATGGCAGTTTACAGCCTTTCCCTACATCTAGGCGGTTTGGAAAGCTGCAGAACTCTAGAATGAAAATTTAGCTTTCAGATTGGTACTCATAATCCTCATGGTATCAGCAAACACTTTTAAGTCAACTAAATTTTTCAGTGTTTAAAACTAATGTTCATGTTAATGTTCATCTTTGGCTGAAAATGTCTCTTTACATCATACACGAATATCCTGACACAAAAAACACTTCTAATACATCCAAATACACACATACCTCAAGCGCTTTCATTTTGTAAAGGAGAGAGGTGGATTCCTTGGTTTTCTCCCGGAAAAAATCATGGAATGTCTTTGTGTACATTAGCTTCATATTATACTTTTCTGCCATTCTGGAACAAGAGATGCAGCAGCGAAAACAATTAACCCTTTGATCCCTAGGGGTAACTAGTATACAATTGTTTCTTACAATATCACCCCTGAATCAAAAATTAACATCACAATAATAAAAGAAAATAATGATCACCAACTGAAAAATCTTTTGATTGCTAAACAAATTCTTCTTGACAGCACCGTTGGAAATGTATAGAGAACAGTATGGAGAATATGCATATTGATGCTACAGTGCAAAGGATTCACAAAACTAAAACAGCCACTACAAGCAACCTGTATTCAAATCATTGCATACCACTTACATCTTAAAATTACCAGTTACCATCTAAAAAGACTGAAAAGGATCTAAAGGGGACAGAGATCTACAAAACATGTATCATAGCTACAAAACCTGCAGAACCCAGGTAATCTTGCACAAGTGTTTGTCCTTTAAAAACTTGGGCAGTTAATCAAGCTTTGGACTTTCTTGTCATCACATGTTTCAAGTTTTATCCTTAAGATGGATTTTATGGATTTTTAAACTTGTTGATAATGTCAAAATTAGTATCTACAAATGTTTACATACTTTTCAAGCAGAGGGAAGTATACCAAGAACTCAGGGCAATCAACCACTCCTTCAAGATGGAAATCATACTTGCAGCCATATAGAGGATAGTCACCTTTCTTCTCAAAAGTAACTCTATAAACATCATTTCCAAAGGAAAGACCTTCTGATTTCTCTAATCGACGACTGAAACAAAAAAAGGAAGTAATACCATTGAGTGCAGTTTAGGCATCATCTGGGGTGGGCCACCTATATTCTGACTCCTATTCACCTTCAGATCACACATCCATTAGTTTCCATTTTGCCATGCACATTTTTAGATCGCAGATGAAATCAAAATACAGTAAGAACAAAAAAGGGGCACACAAGGTACAGCCCAGACTATCACTAATGTTTTTATCACCCTTTGAAATCTCCTTTGATCTACCAATGTATGAATCCATGGTAACATGGAATCTATTTCTTTGAAATGATAACAAAGCAAAATGTTGCAGATAGTGATGTCATTTATGTTTCTGTCCTGTTTCCGGGAACCAATCAAAATTTGTGTATAATCAGCTAATCGTTTAAAGAAAAATACTACTTATAAAAGATGATTGTTATCATCAGACACCTACACCAACTCATATCCATTGGGTGTTGTCCCAATGAAAAAACCTCCGACTTTAAGTTTCTCACAAGCATTCTTTAGCATCATGTCTGCTTGCTCATAAGTCTCAAATGAATAATGAAATGAAAATTGGCAGCTTGTCAAGTCAAACTCGATATTCTTGTCTTGGTAAAGATCTTGAAGTCGTTCCTACAAAAAAGAGCACAGATTACTAAAAACATATATGTGGCAGAACCAGAAAATTGTGATAACAGGGGTAACATTGGAAAAATTAACAAGAGGGAAAATGATGAAAAAAACTTAACGGGAATTTAAAGGTTAGAACAGGAGATAGGACACTTGATTCCTTTACTCTTATGATGTACAAAGTAAAAGAGGGTCACTTCAAGTTAGTGAAAAGTTTTGTTTCTGTAAGGTTAAGTCAGAACACAAACCAAGCCATATTTTATCCAGCTTATTAAGGTTCCTGTCAGGTTTCTGTACCACACCCCCTCCCTCCCCCCCCTCCCCCTCCCCCCCCAAA